CACCACGCCCAGCTAATTTTGTATTTTTAGTAGAGACAGGGTTTCTCCATGTTGGTCAGCCTGGTCTCAAACTCCCAACCTCAGGTGATCCTCCCGCCTAGGCCTTCCAAAGTGTTGGTATTACAGGCATGAGCCACTACCCCTAGCCCAAATACGATGTTAACATTAGAGGAAGCTGGATATATGGGACTCTCTGTATTGTCCTTACAACTCTGTTGTAAATCTAACATTCTTTCAAAATAAAAAGTTAAAAAAGAAAGAGACCAAAGTAGGTTAAGAAACAGCATTTAGACTGGGCGCGGTGGCTCACACCTATAATTCCAACACTGGGAGAATGAGGTAGGAGGATCACTTGGGCCCAGGAGTTTGAGACCAGGCTGGGCAACATAGTGAAACTCCATCTCAATAATAATAATAATAACAACAACAACAAAATTAGCCAGTCTGATGGTTTGTGTCTATAGTTCCCAGCTGAGGTAGAATTGTTTGAGTCCAGGAGATCGAGGCTGCAGTGAGCTATGATTGCACCACTGCACCCCAGCCTGGGAGACAGAGTAAGACCCTGTCTCTAAAAAGAAAAAATAAAAAAGGAAGAAACTGCATGGAGATTATGAAACCTTTTTTGTCAACTCAGTGCATCCATGTGCATCATATGTGTACACATAGGTGTCATGTGTGTACATGTTCACAAACATCTGGAAGGATGAACCTAGGGCTTTGGGATATTTCTGTCTTTGCATCTTTATATATTGTCTGATTTTTGTTTTGCAAAGAGTAAATATAGGCATAACTTTTGTAACTAGAAAAAAGGCTTTTTGGCCGGGTGCAGTGGGTCATGCCTGTAATCCCAGCACTTTGGGAGGCCAAGGTGGGCAGATCACCTGAAGTCAGAAGTTCGAGACCAGCCATGGCCAACCTGGCGAAACTCCGTCTCTACTAAAAATTCAAAAATTAGCCAGGCGTGGTGGTGGGCGCATGTAATCCCAGCTACTTGGGAGGCTGAGGCAGGAGAATCACTTGAAGCCGGGAGGCAGAGGTTGTGGTGAGCCGAGATCACGTCACTGCACCCCAGCCTGGGCAACAGAGTGAGACTCCATCTCAAAAAAAAAAAAAAAAAAGAAAAGAAAAAAGAAAAAGCTTTTAAAATCTTACAGTTTGAAAAATAAAATAGAATACTCCCCTGGCCCTGAACCTTCCTCCGCTTGCTGTGGTCTTCCTGGTGAATCAACACCTTGTAAAGTCAGTGAGTTGTTCTCCCTAAGACTGAGCTTTGGGGATTGTCAGTGGAACTCTGGGGGTGGAGTGAAGAGAAACCTCAACAACCCCCACCAAGCCCGACTCACACCACCCCCGACATCCTCCCCAGAGCAAGAGCCCAGGCAGGCACACGCAGGGGGACTGGGAACTCAGTGTTCGTGTCTTTATTTGGAGGCTGGGAGACAGATTACAGCTTAATGAGAGGAACAAGGACTCAAGTGATCTGATGGGAAGGGTGAGTTTCCTGGCCCTTAGGGAGCGACAGTGCCCTGGACAGGAGGTCTGTGAGTGGGAGCGGACACTCTGAAGGCCTCCCCAGCTCCAGGCTGTGCACTTCTTGAGGGTGGGAAGGCTTAGGAGTCTGTGTCCTCATTGTCTCCTGTCTACCCTTGGCCACAGGCATCTCTGGGAAGAGCCAGATCCTTTTTGCTCTCGTCTTCACCACCAGATACCTGGACCTGTTCACCAACTTCATCTCCATCTACAACACAGTAATGAAGGTGAGGGGCTGGGTGATGATGGTCGGGGGAGGCCACCAAGCCCTCACAAACTGTGAGGTGGCCTGCTTGGAAACTCAGTGTGTGGAGCCAGGCCGACCAGGGTTTGAATCCTGACTTTGCTGCTTAGTGGCTGCATGACCTCATCTTGGGCCTCTTTGTATATCAGTGTCCTCATGCAAAAATGAGGACAGAGCCGGACACGGTGGCTCATGCCTGTAATCCCAGCACTTTGGGAGGCTGAGTCGGGTGGATAGTCTCGATCTCCCGACCTCGTGATCCGCCCGTCTCGGCCTCCCAAAGTGCTGGGATTACAGGCTTGAGCCACCGCGCCCGGCCTAGGAGTCTTATTTCTAAGAAAGAAGGGCTCCATGGGGGGAATTCTATATTGCAGGGTTATTGAGAAGATCACGTGAGATAACATACAGCACCTAGAAAATATTTAACCAAAGCGGGTTGTCCTTCTCTTCCATATCAGACACATCCCTTTGGGATTTCAGGCATGTTGTTACTAGTTGGTAGGGTGGAGGTTGCTGTTACTTGTGAGGTGTTGAACTCATTCAGATTTAGTGAATGTGAATCTGAGGACTGGAAATCACCATCTACTTAAGTTCACACATGTATCAAACATCACCTGCCTAGTTCATTTCTCAGCCTAAGTCAGCCTTGGGCATTCCTGGCAGAGACGGTAGACTCAGCCCTTGGCATAGCTGAATGAGCTCTCGGAAGCTCAAACAGGCTAGTTTCTATATTTCTGAAATGAAAAATTGATCACTTCTTTCACTCATTCCAGCATTTGTTTTGTGCCAGGGACTGACTTAGGAGCTGGGGATTAAGAGGTGGACTCTGCCATGGAGTCCTCTCTTAGAGGGAAGATGGACTTGTACATAGACATTTACAAAGCATGTGATCACGGGTGAAAATGAACATGCTCACATGGAGCTCTGGCGACAGAATGTGTGCCTCATTCTAGAGAAAAAAGGATTGTTTCGAAGAAATAACTCCAAATAGGACTACAAATAGGAGTGTTCTAGGCCAGTGTGGTCCTGCTCCGGCAGCATGACCGTCACTTGGGAACTTGTTAGAAATACAAACTTTAAGGCCGGGCGCAGTGGCTCACGCCTGTAATCCCAGCACTTTGGGAGGCCGAGGCGGGCGGATCACGAGGTCAGGAGTTCGAGACCAGCCTGACCAACA